GTAACAAGCTAAGCTACCAAGCACACAAACACCTGCGAACGGGGTTAACATGTATAATATTATCATTTTAGACTTCTTGGAAGTTCTGTTAGTACATTCAAGCGCACAGCACGACATTTTAATTGTCTGGTATTTGTAACAATATTCCCTAAAAGGCACAATCACCACGAACACGGCTAAAGCTAAAGGGTTAGGTACAGTACTATGACTAACTAACGTTGTAGCCTCTATGGTTGTAGCCTAGCTTTGTGGACAAGTTGCTGTTAGCTGACAGTGAGGCATGTCCATCAAAGTGACCACGCCCTAATTTATGCAAAAAATGTAAGACCTAATATAAATAAAAGGGTCGTGTTAGAAAACAATTCACTCACAGATTCATAATCATGAAGGTGGAATCTAACTATATCGATAATAATATGTATTGCATCCATGGGTAGAAACTAGGGCTGCACGATATTGAAAAAAACTGACATCGCGATTTCCCCCCCCCCCCCCTGCGGTATATATTGCGTTTTTTTTAACCTGTTAAGCCCCAAAGTCCCGGCGGGTACTTTACTTTTTTTTTTCACGACACTGTCTCAGGCATGGGCGTAGGAAGCATCCTGAATGTGGGGGGGACATTTTTAAGGGGGGGTGTGGGGCTCCCCCCCCCCCCCCCCCCCACGAAAAAAAAAAACCAGTATATGGTGGTTTGATACTTTTATGTGGCTATACTAGTATGAGGAAAATTATGGGTACATTTTGTAATTGCATCCAGTAGTAAAGAAAGGAAACATATTTGATTATTAATTCAGAGCCGTCTTTGAATTAATAAAAAGCAGTTTAAATGCCCATTTGTTGTACATTTATATACAACAATAAATATTTGTGAGTGCGTTGAGAGATATTGTTGTGGAGAGTCATTTATATATAAATCGCAAAATACATTTGTGAATCCTTCTATGAGCATTTATTAGGGCCCGAGCACGGAGCGCTAGGACCCAACGGCGTCCTAGCACGAGTTCAGCCCCTATCCAATATGATGCTAAATTGAGAAGAACATTTTTTATAGCTCAATCGTGGAGGTCGTAAGCTGACAGCGAATACACCATTTATTACAATTTACATGTCACAAATTACTCCAAATGACTCCAATCTACTCGCGTATACTTTTTCCAATATTCACGAAACGCTGTATACATATTGCTATTATGATTGCACACATATTTCAAATTGCCTTCCATTAGCCCCGCCCACCAGAAAGTCGGCCATTTTGAAAAATGGCCGTTTTTCATGCATTTTAAGGACATTTCTGCAAACTCTTCATGATCGGAACAATTCCAATCCAGGACAACTTCAGCGCATATCCAATGTCATGCTACATTGAGAAGGAATAGTCCTTCGCTCAAACGGGGAGCTCGTAGGCTAACGGAGAATGTACCATTTTTGACCAATTATATGTCAGATAAGCTACTGAGGCCTGCCTGTTTGCCTGGCACATCAACTCTCACACACACACACACACACACACACACACACACACACACCTACTGTTAGTCCAACAACACCCTTTGCTGGCGGCATATTCATTACAACAGACACCTATACACTCCCTGAACCCTAACCCTAACCCTACTGTTTATTTGTCGATATCTCCTAAAGCCTACAAATAAAATGTGAAATGTAGGCCTATTACATTTATTAGTGAGCGATATATATTATACACACTGTTCTGCTTTCTGCACTGACCTCAGCAGCTGTTCTCACTGTAACATCACCTAACATCCAGGGGACATGTGATTAGTGAGTAAACAAACGGTAAAGGGCAGAAAGTCTGATGCACATTTAATCATCTCAAATAACTTATAATCACAACGGGAACAGTTTGCAGAGCTGTGCTTCGTTGACAGAAGTCCAGCCATGGGTCACACCTCTTTTAAACATCACTGTTGGCTGAAATCGTCTCAGGAGAATACTTCAGTGTACCCTCTGTTATAGCTCCTCTAGAGACACTCCTCTCTCCTCTAAATCAGTGTATCCTCGGTTACGCTCCTCCAGACAGCCTCCTCGATAATCGATCCTCGACGAACCTTTAGAGACATTTGTTTTCCTTTGAGACGGCGCGCCGACATCCGTTTCCGGGTCGCTGCCGGAGGACCTGGGATTCTGGGACACGAAAATTATAGAAATGAGAAACCGCTCATTTCCCAGGACTCGCGCGCGTCTGCTTGACGCCGGGACGACCGGCTGCCCTCCCCGACAGGCGCACGGACGCGAGGGCCCGCTCATCACTGCGCGCACAAGTGCGACCGCAGTTTTAATTAATATTGAGACTGATCTGACTCCATACAGATGTTAAGTTCACCTAGGAATGGTATCATTGACTTAAATGTTGCTCTTCTGTCTATATTGGCCATATGATGCCCCTTGACTGAAATGCTTCCTGTTCAATATCCCCATTGACTTCCTTAACATTCTGGGATGAGAGTCCACATCACAATTTACTCTAAACTGTCATTTCCCTTTCATCACTCACCTCAGCAACGGACCTCTCTCCACTGTCCCTGTGTTCTGTGGTTCTGCCTCTGACTCACTCAAGCGCCTAGATGTCAAGAGAGGTGGTGAAGTGATCATTATTTATTGAGCAGTATACTCTTTCACATTGAATCATAACAAGTCATACTGAATGTAAATACAACTGACTCTAAAGTAAGTCCCAGTCTGTGACATTGGACATTTTGAAGACTCAAAGTCCCAAGCAGTAGAATATTAGCTAGTCTATGTAATGTGCACAGAAAATAAATAGTTAACTGAATACTGGGATGGAAATTGCCTATAAGCACTCATTAAAACATAAACACACACAAAAAGCTTCTGAATGATAAGAAGTATAATTAAAACATAATCCACATTACCATTTTGAGAGAGAGTACCGAAGTTAAAGAACTCAGAAAATAATCTCTTATCGAACTGAGGCTCCAGTAAAACACACTGACTGCGTCTCTACATCAGGGTGTTTACATGAGCACAGAGAGATGGGGTTATTCATGTTCCCTGTTTACATGATAAATACTAGTAACCTGGCATTTCGATGCCTTTTCTCAACTAAACTATTTAGTATTTGTATCTCTCTATCATGACATAAAGACGAAACTCCTCTCCAGAAGTGAGACGCTTTTGCCGCCATCACTGTTAACTGATTAACTGCCACCAGCTCATTACTTACTTTCCTCTTCTTCGAAAACAATGTTCTTATATCCATGTTGTCTGGGGGAGAAAACATATCAAACCAAGAGATCGTCAGCTTTGATTTTCGCTGTATTAACAATGTCCTGAACATTTGGTGTGTGTGCCTTACCTCTTCTACCGGCATCGCTTCATATAACAGATCTGAGCTGTCCAACTATGACAACACTCCTTGAACATGCGCACGCTATGGGAGAATCTGCCTTGGTACAAAGTAGCAGGGAAAACATGGTACAGAGTTTCATTGATTTGGGCATTCTCTCAATAAGCAAGTGGAATGGATTTGATAGTGAAGCACTGACACAGCGCTCTACAGAGTGCGGCGAGTGGATAGACCGATTCACGGACTTTCCACATGGTAAAAGTGGGGGGGTCTAAACTAATCATTTCAAAAAGTGGGGGGGACTTGTCCCACCCTGATATAATGGCTGCGTGGTCTCAGGGGATCTTAATATTTAAGAACCTATTAATGTGTTATACCAGATTAACGGAAATAATCTCAGCTAACAGACGATACAAACCATGTTTACCAAAACAAAACACAAGTCTCATAAGAATCATCTAAATGACCCCTGAGCGAAAAATGCTAACGCACTTTGGCACAGAACTCAAGATAAAAGTACCCTTATTACTTATCGTAGCTGCACATACAAGATATCCGATTAAAGCTGAGGTTCCACAGATTATTTAGGTATATAGTATCATCACTGAGTGATCCGAACTCGGACAGGGGAAGCAAACACAGACATCACAACACGTACCTTTACGTAGCTTCTAGGGGAGATGTCTCACCGTAGCTGTCAATCTGATCAAAAGACGTGTTCAATGGCATTAAAACGAGAAAAAACGCGGCTGAATCGGTTAATCCATAGGCTTTTAACGTCTCTGTATAAAAAAATTATTTCATTTATAATCCATAATTCCATTTTTATGTAAAAATGGCAGAGCAAAAGTTAGCTGCTAATGGTAGCCACCAGAGTGGCTGCTGCTTCCTGTCTAGGCTATACGGGAGTCCAGCGCAGTCTAACACACACACATTACCAAATAAGGAGTGAGAGTGACGCGTAGCCAAAACCGGAAGCTGCATACACTCTGGTGGCTACCATTAGCAGCTAACTTTTGTGCTCCGATTTTTACATAAAAATGGAATTATGGATTATAAACAATTGCTTCAAAGCCACAGATACATTATCAACCTATGGATCAACCGATTCAGCTGCGTTTTTTCTCGTTTTAATGCCATTGAACACGTCTTTTGATCAGATTGACATCTACGGTGAGACGATCTCCTGTAAAAGGTACGTGTTGTGATGTCTTTGTTTGCTTCCCCTGTTGCGAGATCGGATCGCTTAGATACTATACTTAAATAATCTGTGGAGTCTCAGCTTTAATCGGATATATTGTATGTGCAGTTTCGATAAGTAATAAGGGTATCTTTATTTTCAGATCAGATCCAGCTCTCCTGACCGGCCTTTATAGAGAGCACAGATCAAACTATTAAGAGAGAATATCGGCCGATAATGATCGATCGATCGGAGCATCCTTAAATATTACCGGACATTTTGACCAGCAGGTTTTGAATTTACCGGTTTTTAATAAATGTTACCAGCTAAAAAACGGTAATTACCGGCTAACGGAAACCCTGATAAATATAACTTAATTTTTAACTATTTTAACTTAAAAGGTTGCATAAAAATTATTTGTTTAAGCTTTTTTTGTTGGGAAGTACTCGTTATTTTTTTAACTTTGTGCTGTGGTCCTGTCAGCCGACACAGAACGGACGACAGAGGATGAAGATGAAACTAGAGCAGATGAAGGGAGAACATATGATGGAGGAGGAAGATGACATCGAGGAGGAGGAGAATGAGGAGGAAGAAGAAGAGGAGGAGGAGAATGAGGAAGAAGAGGAGGAGAATGAGGAAGAAGAAGACGAGGAGGAGGAAGAAATGGAGATGGCGGTGGAGGAGGTGGAAGTTGAAGAAGTGCAAGTGGGACTCCAAGAGGATGAAGAGGAGGAGGAGCAAGCAGTGGAGGAAAAGGTAGAGTTGGAAAAGAAGCGGAGGAAGAAGAAGGCGAAGAAGCAGAGAAAGGAGGAGAAGAGGAAGGAGAGGGGGAAACGAAGAGGAAAAGACAGAGACACGGAGGAAGAGTCGGATGATGAAGAGTCGGAGCAGAAGAAGAGGCGGGTGGTGGTGGTGAGGCTCGGCCTGCTGAAGGGACACTCAGAGGTCGGACGATCCGACCTATCAGCTCCCTGAGACACTGCAGGCTCCGCCCAAGAACTAAATAGACCCCACCTCTAATCAGAGAGCAGGACAGAAAAGTCCCTCCCTCTTCTCCGGGGGGTGTTGAAAGGGATTCTGGGAATTGGAAGAGGGCAGAAACTGGATGGAAACTAGCGAGAGCTTTACTTTATATTGTTATTTTGACGTTAAATCAATTTAAGGCAGAAAGGAGTTAATTTGATCTCAGAAAAGCCCCTGAAACACAAAACTGCTCCACTGAAAATAACAATAACAGAGCCACAGCTGATTAATCACAAGAGTTCCTGCTGCCGGTTTAAAGTCTTGGGTTAGCTGGATCTGAAAATCCACAGACTTTCTTATTTGTTCCATGATGGTAGTCAACTCAAATACATTTCCTCTCTAACATTTTGTCTACTTTGTCTCCTTCTAATATACTAAAACAGTACATTTTCAAATCTTAAAAAGGTTTCTGGACAGAGCTACCCAATCTGGCCCTAAACGTTGGGACATATGATGGAGTACTAGGTCCACTGGGGAACAATTGTAAAAAGGCATGTTACAAGAGGATTTAGTCATTTCAGATGAAACAGCCTCACAATTCAAACTCGATCATAGGGCTGCAACTAACAATTATTACTCTAGACAATTCAATCAATCATTATCATACACTTTCAATTTCGCGTTTGTTAAACCGTAGTAAACCCATATCCCAACAGAATCATGGCTTCAGTTTCTTGTTTGAAGCACGCTCAGGCTTCACATATTCATTATTTCTCACAATCAAAGATAGTTGTATGATTACAAAGGCTGCAACGAGATTACTTTTTATTACACATTTATTCTGCTGGTGGTTTCTAGATAAATACATTTTTTAGTCCATGGTCGTTAAATGTATATATTTTTTTTATTTCAAATCACATTTGACTTTATATGGCATAAAACATAACAAATCAAAAATTGAGAAAAAACAGCATTTCCTGACATTTCTCCATGAAACTGCTCAATTGCTGATCAATAAAGGTGGCTATTATTTTCCTGTTGTCGATAAGAGAACAATTTGTTGCAGCTCTACGTTACAGTCGGTCATGTGAGGGTTACAAATACTGTTCATTGACAATATTAACATTACATTACTATAAAAACAGACTTGGCTAACAAATGGTGTCCATATGTTTGATTCTCAGACATTAGATTATTTTGATGTTCAACAGAATGCTGTTGGCAAATCGGTTATTACATGAGCACAGAACGAGTTAGAAATCATGTTAAGAAATCAAAGAATATTCATTTTCTCCAAATATTTTTTTCTTTAACTTAAAGTTTGGACGTTAGTCAGGATAAAAAAACGAACATTTTCCTTTTAAACTTTATTTCATGGTCTTTGATTTTGTCATCATTTTAAAGAAAGTTCTATAATAAGGTTATAGTTAAAGTGGAAACTGGGGAATTTCAAATGATTGCGTTATTTTCATATGATTAATACCTTATTACATAGTTATTTCCAAGACATCATAAATCATTAAGGGACCCATACAATAAAGTAAAATGTAGGTTTTCTGTGGAGTACACTGAATAATTCCACCATAAAGCAAAAAAGTGCAGCTGGACATTTCTCTCCTGGTTAGAATCTGATTGAGTTAAAGTTTCTGTAAATCGCTACCGTTTTATAGTTTGATTTAAAACAAATGGTTTGGTTTTTGAGTTTCTTATAGCTTCTAAAAACCATTTATTTGTTATGTTTGAGTCGAAGAGGACTGATGAATGTGTTTTCTGACTGGGTGTGATGTTCAGCGAGTTTGATGCAGGACTGTAAGTTTGTCAATAAAAATGATAAAGGCTTGTCTTGTCTCTGTTGGTTACTGAATTATTGCTACAGATTTGCAGCTTTCATTGAACAAGTAATGTTATTGTTTTTTAAATTACTATTGATATTATATTTCTAATATTTTAGTAAATATTTCCTAGTGAAAATTGCTTAATTAACATCCAAATATGTATCTAATAGACTACAATTCAATAAGAGGTGTGTCAGTTTCCAGTGTAGTATTGTGTGTGTGAAATGGCAGCAAAATAAATGTCAATAAAAACTCCTGAAGTTGAATAATTATATGTATAATGATGTATTTATCCTGTGTGTGTATTTTTTTAGTAGTAGCAGGTTAGTCTTCTACAGTGTTTTTTAAACTTATTCTGAATGTTTTAATATTGTGTATTTTATATTGTGTACTCTATAGATACAGTATATCTTTTGTTAAAATGTAAATTATTACTGTTATAAAAAATAAATGCTAATTTGAGATCAATTAAGTATATCTTATCTAAATAGATTTTACCTAATTATTTAGTATTAAGTAGTATTTTATTTTTGTTGAGCCTCTGAAATGTCATCTTTATGCAGGACGAGTTCTAGCCATTAATTGAAATTGAATAAAGCCCCAATGTTGAGGGGCTGCTGCTGACGAAGAAATAACAGTTTGAAAAACGATAGCCGAGTACGACGAGGATCTTTCTCGACTAAAATATGAAAACCAGCGACGACGGAGCGCTCCTTGACGCTGTTTATATCCAGATACACAGAGCAGGTAAGTTCTCTGTCATTGCTCTATTATCACTTTAAATATGCAATTCCTTTACTTTAGTAAACATATTAATACTAGACTGACGTATACAGTACATATAATCTAGATTTACTTGTACCTTGGGTACTTTCATTGTATTGCAACTCGATTTTGACAGGATAACAACTGGTGACTTCTAGAATTGTGTGAGTAACATTCTGTTTTTAGACTTCTCTGTTTCAGTGTGTGTACTCTGTATCAATGCTCTGTAGTTGATCTGACTGAAATTGTGATTTTAAATCTCAAAACCGCTACAGTATCTGTCAGGCAGAAACTTGGGACAACTAATTTGACTGAAACCTTAAAACTGAACTAACTGACTGCTAGGGTTAACTTTGATTTAAACATTTGTAGAATACTAAGAGCTTTATTGAGTAGGTGTAACTGTATTAAGGGTTAAACTCAGGGTTCGAGTTACGTGGGAGCCAATGGGAGCTGAGCTCCCATAAGGAGGGGCCTGAGCTCCCACGGACCCAGTGAAATCAAACATCTGTGGGGGTCGCTAATATACATTACCAACAACCATTATTTTGATCACAAATAATGCATTTTTCAATGTAATGAGTATTATTTACGTTAACGAGGTAAATAGGCAAACAAAACAATGTTTTCCAAAAGAACTACGCATCGTATTCTCTCTTGAATGACAATATGCCTGCACTTCACCTCTAAGGTGCGCAATAAAATATTGCGCAATCTATGCCTGTGAGGCTGTGGGACGCGCGCCCGAAGAATGAACCGTTATATCAACACACATTCAAATATATTGACAAGATACACACATACGAGTACCGTAGGCTAGCAGACAATTACCATGCCGCCCAAAAAAAGGCCACTGCCGCCGACGGGGTCTACAAGCCTGGCTAGTTTTGGTTTTCTCACAAAGAAACAGCTTTTGACAACCAAAATGCACCTGCTAGCGTGGCAGCTAGCACTAACCTTGCTGCTACGGAGGATTCTGTCTTTGCTAGCGGACCTGATGCTGTTGAATGTGGGACCACCTGCACACACGTAGAAAGTTCCGAAGCGGAGTGGCATGAGGAGGCAGGAGGTACTGTTACAGAAGGACCACCACTTAACTGGGGACACAATCAGTGGAGATCCTGGAAAGAAAGAAACCCCTGGCTGTTTTCAAAGGAGGGTGGTCTTGGATGCCTCGTCTGTAAGCAGGGGCGGATCTACCGGGGTGGCATGGGGTGGCAACTGCCACCCTAAACAATAGCCTTGCCACCCCAGTTGGCATCTTTGTTTTGAAAGAAAAGTTGTGGCTCATCGGACATTTATGAGAGAAAGTCCCTAATGTCCGAGTGCAAGTGAATGCAGCACAAGATGCACGTCATGTAACCCCTCCCCCGGTCCTGGCGCGAGAGTGGAAATATGATTGGTGGCGAATTCACTTGAACGGGGGGACGGCGCAAAACGAGAAGCCTTTCGGACCCAAGCACTGAAGGAATGAGGTAGTTGCGGTCTACAATGACAGAGAAGAGAATGTCAAGTTTGGCTGTACTCAGCATTGAATCAAAACGCACTACAGCTGTTGATCTTAATACGTTTGTGAGGCGTTTTGCTGAACAAAATAGTAATCGCCGCATTCAGCTGTAATAGACATGCCAACTTGATGCTCTGCTCACGGATGACTCGATGAGAATAACAAACTGTTAAGATGATGACCTTGTATGCGTGTATATATTTTTTTCTTTGAGGGGGTCTGCCCCCAAAAAACAGTTTTAAGTCCTGAGAAAGTAAAATAAGACGGTGTGTAAAACTACACAGCCTAGCCAACAGAAAGTAACCACTTTGATTTAACTAGGCCAGTAGGTAAGGACCTTCCACTGGATAATAACTGCAGCGATGTTTTAGCTGAATACACGTTTTTTAATCCTAACTGATGCAGTTAGTCACTTCTTTAATGTTTGTTCTTTCTGATGTAAAGTCAAGGTTGTAACTGTATATCAATAATGATATAATTACTTGTTTTCAAATTTGAAGGAGAGCGAGCAAGCATCTTGATGAACATTCATCATTAACTCCTCCAAAAAATATAGTTTATTCAATAATAAATGAATATGTGAATCATAACAGTTCTTCACTATATCTGTAAAGCGTCTTTGAGCACCTGTAAAAACGCTAACAAATTAAATCTATTATTATTTATTAACAGTGATTGACAGCTGATAGGAATAATATGATTGTTAATAGTATCATATTCATTCAGACAAACATCGATGAGACAGTTAATTAATGTACTTATTGCAGCAGTCTGCATAGATTTGGTACCCCTGCTGGTCTAAGAGTGAGACAAACTCATTCAGTTATTGTTCAGTTAAAATTCATTAAATTACGTCTGCCGTATGTAAGGCTTTACTGATGTGCCACAATAATTTCACCTATGTGATTGAGTTAAAATATTAATATTGTGGCTTTCCAAGTTAACATTGATTGTAGGGGTGTAACGGTTCACAAACATTTCGGTTCGGTACTAGGCCTACCTCGGTTTTTAGGTCACGGTTCGGTTCGTTACGTTTTCGGTACAGCAGAAAAAATTATCACAAAACATTAAATATTTTTTTTAAATTATTATTAAACTGTGACTAATGTATTCAAATAAATACAAAATATAGTAAAATAAACATTAAGGTGCAGCATTTCGATGAACTGAAATAATCTGTATTTGAACTGTACTAGTTCCTAAGCAGCCAGTTTGACATTAGGACTTGCTTGTCATTGTATTTTCATGTTGTTCTAAAGAAAGATGAACTTGTCCACATTGCTTGCCGAAAGGGCAGATCTGCTGGCACTAACAATGGCTCCTGCTGTGGAGAACACCCTCTCTAGGGACAGTGGCAGCAGATACAGCCAGGTAGCGCTTTGCTGACATGGCAACATAAGGATACTTGGCGTTTGTAATAGCTTTGGCTCGGTCTGAACTCTCTGCGAGTGGTGGAGGCTTAAATGCTAGTGGGAGTTGGGTTTGCACTTCAGTCTTTTTTCTTTTGGTACCGGTGATATTCACATTCGGGTGATGCCTTTTCAAATGAGTGTGATGTATTGCCAGCCGCGTAACCAATGTTAGTTGAACAATACAGACAAACAGCTTTGGTTCGGTCCACCTGTCTTTGTCCGTCATCCTTGTACGTAACTGCGAAACCAAAATGTTCCAAAACCGGAGCCTTCAATGATGCTGGAGGATTTTCGAGCTCAACTTTATCTGCGTTCGCCATTTCGACAGTTCCTCAAATGACTGACTACATTTGAACGCATCCCTGTGACCAGCTCTCATAGTATGCCTCTCGTCCAATGAAATGACTTGGTCGCTCTATGATATATACCTGAGATTACTTCCAGAAAGTTGTTCATGTTCTCAATTTTTTACGTTTAACGCTATATTCGTTCGGTACACACGTGTACCGAACCCAAGGGCCCGTACCGAATAATTTCAGTATGGGTACCGTTACACCCCTAATTGATTGATATGATTGCGATTTAAATCAGCATATACTTCTGTCAGGGGATGCCACCCCTCAAAATCTCCTGCCACCCTCTTGCCACCCCATGAATATTTGTCTAGATCCGCCCCTGTCTGTAAGGAAGCCAAGACTCTCTTACTTTCGGAGAAAAAATATGGAACGCATTTGGTGGATGCCTGGCAGGGGCGGTTCTAGGGGGGGGGGGCAGTGCCCCACTAACACTGACCTCTGACCCCCCTGTGGCACCCCTAACAATGAAACGTTTTTTTTTTTTTTAAATGTATATTTTCTGGTACTCGGTTTGCCAAAAACCGCAGGATTTTGTTGCTGTAATGTGAAATTGTGCAGACACCCTTATGTAAAGTAGAGATGTAACTGTTCATTGCCTTTATTTTTATATAAATATGGTGTTAGTGCAAACATTGCACTATAACCTAAGATGAAGCTAACAGTAATAACTATAAGATCTATCTGAAATAAATAAGTGTACTGAAACAAATACCAATAACTATTGCATTGTTTTCTTATGCGCAATTACTTCATACTGTCTAGTTCTCTTTTTCGTCCTGCATTTATTGTGCCCCCCTCAGAAAATAACTGGCCCCCCAGTGGCCCCCCCAGTCAAATTGGTCTAGAACCGCCACTGGTGCCTGGACCAATGGTACTGTGTGAGTAGCCCTGTGCAGAAGCATTTGCGGACATCTTTTTACATACACCGCGATTTTTTACATATTGCTCATAAACGAGCTGTTGAA